ATTCAACTGTAAATATGTTCCAGGAGGAATAAAATATGAATCTCCTAACTACATAAATTTTTATATTATTTGTTCATTTCATGGTATATATGTAGCAACTTGCTGCTATGTGTCATGTTAATATTTAGGAATACCATTTTAAAGTCTTTTGCTGTCTATGGCTAACTATGAAGACAGTATTTCATAATCTAGTTAACAGTCATTCCACTATTTCCATTTTCAAATGCCAGGTCACTTTTATCAATAACATAAGGTTATTGTGAATTTCACATATATTTTGCTTTTCTATCTTTAGCTATAGCCAAGTCTTAACATGGTTGTTCTGTACACCTTATAGTTATATTAGAACTCCCTTTAAACATTTATATATTTACAGCATACAGTTTTTACTGTATTTCCAGCTGGTAAGTGACACCTCAAGCAGACTGTAGGTGTAAGGAGGATACAGGAGTTGTCTCTAGAAGTACTGTAGATATTTTTCATTTTTATAAAAGGAAGTAACAAAATACTTTGATATTGTATACTGCACTTACAGTCTGAGTTGGAAAGAGCAGTCAATAAGCAAAATATACTCATTCAACACTTGGTTGAATGCATAATTCAACTTAGAACATAGGATAAAACCTTCTGTGTATTTTTTTTTTTTTTAATGTTTTATTTATTTCTAGGAGAGAGAGAGAGAGAGAGAGAGAGACAGCGTGAGCAGGGGAGGGTCAGAGAGAGAGGGAGACACAGAATCCGAAACAGGCTCCAGGCTCTGAGCTGTCAGCACAGAGTCTGACGCGGGGCCCGAACCCACGAACCGCGAGATCATGACCTAAGCGAAAGTCGGACGCTTAACTGACTAAGCCACCCAGGCGCCCCAAACCTTCTGTGTATTATATCTAGTTCAAGAAACTAGCTATTGTGCATTAGTTTTCCAAGTTGAAAAAAAATTTTAATAGCTTGTTTCAGAATTTCTCAAGGTCATTGTTTGGCTTTGCTCTTCTAACAGACTAATCAGTCACTGATAGTAATTATGATGCTTAAAAACATGATTATTTTCAAGAAGATCTTTAAAAAATTGTCTTTGTTTTTTAACCGAGAGGGTAAACAATAACAGTAATTTTCCAAGTAGCATAGACAGATAACACAATGAAAATACTTGTCTTCTACCCTAGGGCCTCTTGACTTTCTAATGACTTTTGTAAAAATGTCTTCTACATTGACATAATTTTTTTTTTTACTCGAAGAAAAATAAGGAGTGGGGAAGCTTCAGATACTGGGTGAAAAAACAAAGACATATTCAGGATATGCACTGATTATCAATTTTTATGTAATATTTTAGAACTAGAAAATTAACTTTAGGTTCTGTTTGTAGGCATAATATTATACCATTATCAAAACATATTCTATAGTTCTTTGATCATCACTTACATTGTATTGTAGCTGTATGTAGTAGGATTTTTAGTCTTGCTTAATCTTTTTGCCTATTTTTCTTAAAAATTATATCACTTTTAATATAAGAATACTGGTTTAAATGATAGTTTCCTGATTAGCTTTTAAAAACACCTACCAGGTAAAATTTTATTACAGTAATCCAAGATGGTTTCAAAATGTATATGAACACACTGATTAAAATTTCCTTGCCAGTGGGGCACCTGGGTGGCTTAGTCGGTTAAGTGTCAGACTTTCGCTTAGGTCATGAGCTCGCGGTTCGTGGGTTCGAGCCCCACATCGGGCTCTGTGCTGACTGCCGGCTCAGAGCCTGGAGCCTGTTTCAGTCTGTATCTCCCGCTCTCTCTAACTGTCCCCTGCTCACGCTGTCTCTGTCTCTCTCTCCTAGAAATAAATAAAAATAAAATAAAATAAAATAAAATTTCCTTGCCAGTTTTCAGATGACTGCTATATCCTGGCCTATTTCTCAAACCTGTAGGGAGAGGTAGGCATCATTTGTGTTTACTATCACTAGCTCCCTCATTTCCTCTTCTCAGTTTCTAACTCTGTGCTGTTTTTAAAAAGGAGGGTATTTGACGAGGAAATCTTACTACTGTTTAATAGAAAAATAAATCAACAAACAATTTATCATTGTCCCTAATAACAAAGGATCTAATACCAGTTTTTCTGTATCAGCTACTGAAAGTTTGCTAGAGAAAGCTACTGATTGCTTAGAATTACTTCCTATAACTGGATGGGGCCACTGCTCCAGAATCCTACAGCACATAATAAGGTACATAAGAGTTTTCACTGCAAAGGTATTATATATAGACTAAGTCATATGATAAGCTATGATCTGAGATTATACTTGTCATTTATTACATTCACCTTCCTGAAATATGGCAGGAATCTTTGCATGATCTTATATATCTGGACTTAATGTAGCAAAACATTTTAAAGGTGGTTGATTTTAAAGTTGTGAAGAACTAAGTAAGTTGGAGAGAAGGTACATTTTGTACAATGGCTTCTGATACAGATATCAAATACAGTTGACTCTTGAACGGTGTGAGGGGGCAGAAGGGAGTTTGGGTACTAACTTTTGACTAACTTTTGACTCCCCCAAAACTTAATAGCCTGTTGAGTGGTAACATAGACATTTGATTAACACATATTTTCTATGTTACATGTATTTATTATATATAGTATTCTTATATAAAGTTATAGAAAAGGTTAAAAATAAAATACATTTTAATACTGCACTTTTCAAAAAGAGTTTGTATATGAGTAGACCCATGCAGTTCAAACCCATCTTGTTCAAGAGTCAACTGTGGAGAGCCTGGGTGGCTCAGTCAGTTAAGCATCTGACTCTTGGTTTCGGCTCAGGTCATGATCTCACAATTTGGTGGGTTGGGCCCGCAGCTGGCTCTGCGCTGACAGGGCAGTCCCTCTGACCCCTCCCCCCACTCACACACACACACACCCTAAATAGACTTCTAAAAAAGTCAACTGTATGCATACTTTAAGTGTCTGCTTAGCTTTGGCTAAGACAGGTTTAATGCTTGGAGTCCTTGACTCTTTTGGTCCTATTCTGAAAATAGATATTTTACCCATTTGCTGAAGATGGATTCCAGGACTTGAGCCAACAAAAGACAGGGCTATACAATTAAAAGTCTTAATTAGCAGCTTACTAACCAACTAGCTTGTACATCTGGTTTTCTTCAGACTTCTTTTGAGACCATTATCCATAATATTTATAATAATATCTTAAGATTTATTTCTAGTTTCACATTGAAAAGGAAAGTTAATAATAAAGTATAGCTAATATGTAATTGCCATTTATAAATATGAGCTTCATTAATAAATTTTTTTGCAACTGAATTCTACAGTGAGCTTTTCTTCTATAGGTAGTGGCCCATCCAGTGTAGTTATAAGTCAGTGCCTTATGAATCTTTCATATATTTAGTGATTTTAAGTAATAAGTTTGTACATATAGTTGTTGCCATAAATTATGGTTAATTTACTTGAGCAAATTCAAGATTTGCTACCTTTCAGTTCTTTAGTGCAGCACTATAGAAACAGCAATGCCATTGCCATCAATACTAATGGACTTACTTTTTTTGACAGTGAGTTAAATGAGAATTTAATGACTTGAAGAGGTGACAGAGTTGGTGAAATTTTTAGTGGATCTCTGTATTTCGTGCCATAAACACGCATATTAAAGGTAACAGTCTTCCACCTACAGCCATAAAGTGCTCTTACTATTCATATTGAACTTAATGTTTTATAGGTGGGAGATCTCAGGAACCTAGGATGGGAAAAATACAAATTTATGATTTATATAATTCGTTGAGATCTAACGTGTCAGGTTTAAAGTGTCACAACTGTGATTAGTGACATAAATCTCTTAACTCCATTAAGTCAGATAGGTGCTGTAGTTGTAAACTACAACTTACTACTGTAAGGCCAATATTGAGGTGGTTTCCGTCCAGTGCGTAACCCCTTCTGTGGTTAAATAAAGGCATACAGATTAGCCTCGATGGAAATAAAAAGCTTCCAGACGTTAAGTCAATAAAACGGTTTCCCTCTGATTATGTAACCCCTTTGGTGGTTAAATAAAGGCACGTACGAACTGTCGCAGACTAACCTCGATGTAAATAAAATGCGTCCGAAGAGTACCCGCTGCTGGTAGGCCAAGACCGTAAATTTTCCAGTATCTGAGCGGTTTCCTCTGAAATACTATCGCAGATGAGGAGAAATGTACTTAAGTTTCTCTAAAATGCTTACTTGAAGGTGTGAATGGGAGAGAGCATATTCATTGTGGGGTTCGCCTTGTCCCCGCTGCAGGTGCACGTTAAGGTGCTTTCAAAACTGACACTGGAGCCCCACCTGGCGCAGGTGAGGGCGGGCGCGTCGCTGCCCCGCGGAACTCGCAGCGAGCTTCCTGGTCCCGCGGGCTCCGGCGCAGGTGCTGCCCAGCCGGCGCGCACGCGCACAGCGGCTTGGACGTGGGCGCCCAGCCGCGCCCAGCGTCTCTAAACACTTTAGGGCCGGCCGTTGCAGCTGCGAGTTTAGGGGGCTGACTGCCCGCCTCTGCCTGTAGACCTATCTTCCCGGGTTCGACCTCACGAACTCTCCCACCCGCCCTGCAAAAATAACATGTGAATACGCTATGTTCAGCCTCTTCGCCGCCGCCATTTCCAGAAGTTTCCAGTCACCTCCAGTGCCATGGTCGCCACAAAAAGCGACTGCAGAGCCCGTTGTCCCGGCAGCGTCAGCGGAGCCTGTGCTGCTTTCTAGCTCACTCCTAGATTTTCTCCTCTCATTTCGGGCCGGTGACGGCGGAGGGAGACGGTAACACCTGCATAAGGTGGGAGGAGGTACGAGCACGTAGAGAGGAGTTCCGGCCTACACCCCCGCCGCCTCCAACTTGGTACCTTCCGACTACCCCCGCCCCACGGCTCGGGAAGCTTCTCCACAGAGCAGAAAGAGCCGCGGGGTAGCGGGGAGGGGCCGGCGGAAGAGGCGGGCGGGCGCCGGAGGCGGGGCGGTCACGCCGCCCGTCCCGTGCCCGTGGAGTCACGTGTCTGCGTCGCAGCCAATCGCCGGGCGGCGCTGTCCTGGGAGCGAGGAGGCTGTGGTGAGAGACGGACGGAGACCGGAGATGTTTTCAAGTCCGGCCTCCGCGGCGTTCGTGGCGGTTGCAGCGGCGACGAAGACAACGACAGCGACGGCAACACCAAGGCACTCGTTCAGGGGGTAAACCCTCCTGCGCCGATAGTGCCTTGGGTTCGTGAGGGTGAGGGGGGCGTGGCGACAGGCGAGGAGGAAGGAGGGGCGCGGTTTCGAGCCCCGTACCCGGCGCCTGGGAGGAGACCCTCAGTTCTGCGCTGCTCCCGTCTCCCTTCCCCAGAGCAAGGTAGGGGACGCGCCCTGCCCACCCTGTCTCGTGCCGCCCAGCCAGGGCAGGCCCAGCCCAAGGCGCCGCCGGCCTGACAGTGACAGGCCGTTAGTGGCCCCGGCGCGGGTCCGCTCCGCCCGCCGCCGCCCCTTCAGGAGTCCCGAGTAGCTGCGGCGCGGCCAGGAGCCGCCAGCAGGGCGGTGGTGCGGGGGAATTTGGTGGGGCAACCCCGCCCGCCCCCCACCGCCGATCCCGGGGCTGGGCTGCCGCCGCCTCCCGGAACATGGCGGGGCCGGGAGGAGCGTGTGCGTGCGAGTGTGCGCGGCCCGAGAGGGCGCCGCCGGCGTGCCGCGGCCGGACCCGGCGGGGCGGGGCTGGGCGGGGGTGGGGGCGCGCCTGGCCCGCCGCGCGCGCTCGCCCGCCCGCCGGCAGCCAGGGTGCGGGCGCGGCCGCTGGAGACCGCTGCGGTCCCCCCCCACCCCCCCTCCCCGAGACAGCATCGGAGGTACAGGGTTCCGGGGGAGAGGAAGATGAAAGGGAGAAGGGAAATTGCCGCTTTATTAGTCTCAAGGGAAAAGAGAGCGGCACGCTGCAGTTGCATCTTAAATGCCAGTGTAAACTGTCTTTGCCGCATTAGGCAATCGGTTCTCTTCTTCGTTCTGCATGTGCCCATTCGAATGGTATTCGTAGACCCTCGGAGCACGTCAGATTCTTAGATCTCCTGTTGAGGGGTAATATGGTGTGACGCATCCTCAAGGATCCCAAAGCGTTGAAAAACGGTTGTACAAAGAGGTTACCGAAGCCCAGCTGACAGCTGTTTTAATAATAACAGTAAGAAACAGTTTGGGTTGGGAAGTTAACACTATTGCACCAGTTGAAACCGTAGGAAACATTTTAAACAGTGTACTCTTTGACATTGTAATTTCCACCGGACACCCGCGGGTGAAATGGGTTGCAGATTCAGTGATGTGTAAAGCCTTGGAATTATCTGTAATTCTGAAGTTGAAATGAACCTGTGTTCTTAGTCATGTGTTCCTTTTTAATTTTAAGTTGGTTTACGTAAATCATGAAGGAAGGCGAACTGGTAAAATAGCTATTTTAAAATAAATTGACTGTTTATTAAAAACATATGCTCAAGTAGGGTGTTCAGAATCTCGGGCACTGATCTGTTTCAGTTTCTTCAATCATTATACAAAGGCTTTCCTGGAGATTAGTTCAGAACTGGCAGAACATATGCTCTATTGGTGCCAAGTGGCTTAAAAACAAAATGAGATAGTGTTGACTGTATAAGATCAAGTCATTATATTAACTAATTTTGTTGGAGAAAATCTTTCATTTGGGCTAAACGCAAAGAAATATTTAAAGATTCATGATGTTTCCCCTGGAGATAATTGGCAGGAGGAGAAAGGTTTTACTTCTTAAAGATCTTTTATAGTTAACACAAGTACTAATTAAATTTCTTTTAAAGGAAGGTCTGCAGCCAGCTTGACTAAAGTCAGGCTATTCAGGGATGTGTTCTATTTTAGGAGCATGCAAGGTGTTAAAATGAACGAAAATCAAAGTATTAAGTGGTATTCATGAAGGTAAGGAGTTAAGAAAAAAAGGAAAAAAATAGGGTACCTTCAATGTTTTTTGTCTCTGATGTCCATAGTTGTTGTTTAGTATGGTTTTATGAGCAAGCAGAACTGGGAAAGTGAAAATCTCGGGTGTGTATTCCATGAGGAATATTTGAGGAAGAATAGAGAGAACTAAATATTCCGATGAGGAAAGAACTTAGTAGGTGAAAAAGTATGTTGTTTAGTCTCTGGTTTTAGTTCTTGATTATCAAGGGAAGGGGGGGAAAGGTTGAATTTTGTTTGGAGGCAACTCCCTACTCAGTGGAATGAATTTAAAAGGAAAATGTTTTATCAAGGTGTTTATATTTATATATATATTTATGTATGTATACACACATATATATGTATGTATAATCCTGTAGAAGTTGTTGGAAAATGTGATATTGAGGTAGACTGTAGCAAATGGCAGTCAGTGGGATATTTGAAAAACACTTTGTTGGAAAAGAGGTTTTTATTCTAAGGAATAAGAAGAAGAATAGTAAAAATATTCAATTTGTTGATACTGACTTGTAGTTAAATTTTTTTATTCTGTTTCAAGAGCATTATTTCAGTCTAAAAAGAATGATTTATGAGATTATTTCCATCATCGTCTATAAGAGGTTTGGACTGCTTTCTGTATATAAACTTGATACTGAAGCAGCATTTATCAGAAAGACATGAAGAATTTGTTTAATAATTGCAATAGCTTGTTTCAGAGCTGTTCACACACTACTTTGTTACTTGGAGTTTGTTCCTAAAATTAACATTAACATGTATTTGTAAAATGTCTGTATTGTGTAAAAGGTAGAGTCATGGTGATTTGTCCTTAGAAATGGAAGGGACCTCAAATTTTCTCATTTTACAGATGAGAACATAAAGTCCTACTAAAGTGAAATAACTTACATAAGTCACTACAACCTAGTTCAAAAAGTCTGTGGTTTGGCCTAGAGATTCCTTTCTGTGAAATGCTAATTTGCCTCTTCCTTTAAGAAGTAGCTCATGGAGTAGTGGAAAGAATATTGAAATACGAGTGAGAAGGCCTCAGTTTACATTTTTGATGTAAAAAAAAAATTCTTGATTTATTACTTCCTAACTGGTTTTTCACAAATCGCATTAACTTTCAGAACCTTCTTAATCTGCAAAAAGTAATTTTCCTGCATAATTTACAAGGATGGAATAAATGTGATTACATATGGAAAGCACGTGGTGTACTGTAAACTTTTATACATATAAAAAGTGTCTATTTTAAAAATAAATACAGTTTCACTGTGTAACAAGGTGTCTAGATCCCTAGGTTTTTGCTTAGCCTTAGCTTTATTGTTTCTAGCACCTGCTGTTTCACAGATTATAACTCCCTGTAGATACATTTTCTGATCCCCACTTAGTTCTAATCTTAGTAAATCCTCTTATGAACATTTTAAATATTGCAGTTGTTAGAGCCTGACTTCCTCTGGAGAATATGAAGTTTCTCCATATAGCATTTGAAAATATTCTCATTTACACTCATGCATGCATAATCTGTTTCTTTAAAAGTGGCTTTTTAAAAGTAATAGTGAAAGTGTCTTAGTTGCAATGTTAATTTGTCTGTTGCTAGTTTCCACATACGGCAATAACAGGAGATAATTTCCTTTATAAACTCAGCTTTGGTTGGTGTTAAGATTATCTTGTAGATCTGAATATGTAGAAATGTTAATAGAGAGTTTTGTTTGTTGGTTTTTGCTGTTGTGCTTAAGGATCTTCTAGTGCTTTAAATTAATAATGCTGGAAACCAATCTGGTAATATTGTTTACTGTAGTATTACATATTTTACCTGCAGTCTTGAGTTTGAAGATTATGTTAAATATTCCTTAAACATTATATATGAATATCTGTTTTCAAAGTTTTGAGTGAAATATTTAAGATAATTTTAAAATAATGTTGTTAGATACTACTGTTATTCTAACATATGGCTGAGGAAAAAGGCTTTGAACTGTTAAGCGATGTGTAGATATTCACAGACCTGAAAAAAGTGACAGACTGTATTGTTCCCATTCTTAATCATTTGTCTGTGCTCTGCCTCTAATTAAGAGTATTTAGCTGATTTTAAAAAGTTTTAAGGCAGTGTTTCTTAAATTTCAGATTTTGTGAAAATGTCTGGAGGCCAGCTATTCTGCTTTCTACTGTGTTGGTAAAAAGAAAGAAAAGAAAATACCTTATAAGAATCTTGGAAGGTAGGCAGCAAGCCTTTTTGTGAGACGGTGAGGTAACTGTTGGGTTTTTTATGTTAGTTGTCAGAAGCGAATTAATCTCACCAGCTACAGAAGGACTACAATTTTTACTGTTACAAGAGGTGATTTTTAACAGACTCCACCTTGATACAGATGTCATTTGTCTAAAGAAACTTATTTTAATCATAGTGGCTGTAGAAAAAAGATCACCAACCAAACTCATTTAGGACTTTTATAAAGGAATAGATCCACCAATAGTAAATTTGTCCAGGTTAGAAAATAGCATCCAAGACTAGGTTTTTCAATTAAAAATTCTAAGAAGTTCAAACTCTTTAAGTTCTTAGAAAATTAAGTTAAACACAGAAATGCTTCCAAATTGAGATAAGTAGTAGAAGAGGTAAATTATGAAGTTGCAAGTTATAGGGCGGAAATCATTTCTTTTTCTTTGGCATTTAAAATTTGTCTCTTTGGCCATTGCCTTAACAATTGCTATTGTACTGGGGCGCCTGGGTGGCTCAGTTGGTTAAACGTCTGACTTCGGCTCAGGTCATGATCTCATGGTTCGTGGGTTCGAGCCCCACATCTGGCTCTGTGCTGACAGCTAGCTCAGAGCCTGGAGCCTGTTTCAGATTCTGTGTCTCCCTCCCTCTCTGACCCTCCCCTGCTCACGCGCGTGCTCTCTCTCTCAGAAATAAATAAAACGTTTTAAAAAAATAATTGCTATTGCACTAAAATTGTTTCATATATGTAGTACTATACTTTCCTGGTTTATGTTTTGTATTTGGGCCATAATTGGGGGAAATACCACAAATATTACTGATACCATATTTTTCCCATTTTTTAAAGCTTTATTTTTGTTTTTAGGTAATATCTAAACCTAGTGTAGGGCTGGGACTTAGAACCCTGAAATCAAGAATCGCATGCTGTACCAATTGAGCCAGCCAGACGCCCTCCCTGAATATCTTATTTTTAAACTACTTTGTTGCTTGAAAGAGGTGTGTGAGAGAACCTTGTAGCTTCTTAGATTTCAGATTGTTCTTCCTCCTACATGGAGTTTTGTCTGCCCCCTGAATTCTAATAGAGAACAGAAACTATGTATGTCTGGTTCTCTCTTCCTAGAAGTAGCTATTTTGACTCAGGATACAGTAGTATGTAAGAATTATAGTGCTTTGTAGTTCATGTAGTACTTTCTGCTTGAGATCCCTTGAATTTCTCA